AAAGAACTTTCAGAAGTTTGAATTCTGAATATGAGCGACTTTTCCTTTAAAAAGTTTGGGAACTGTAGGCTTGTTTTAGGTTTTACTAACCTTTAAATATGGTGGAAAAAGTCCATGGAGCTGGAAGTACTGGATAGTTCTGTTTGAAAAGGGAAGAAGAAGAAAATGTATTTTTGTTTGTATTCTAACCAGCGATAGCAATGGTTAAACGTAACATCTTTAAAGTCGGTCACGTCTCCAGAAAGGCAGCATGGAGGGAAATAAAGCCGTCTCTCTGTTGTGCAGTGCTACCTGGCTCTGGCTAAAGGCCCTCTGACCCCCCGCCATGTGCTCATCCTGCCCATCGGCCATTACCAGTCTGTGGTGGAGCTGAGCTCCGAGGTGGTGGAGGAGATGGAGAAGTACAAGACGGCCCTGAAGAACTTCTACAAGAGCAAAGGAGAACGCTGCGTGGTGTTTGAGAGGAACTACAAGAGTCAACATCTGCAGCTGCAGGTAGAACGACACTTTAACGACACTTTATATATAAAACAGAAAAGGAAATATCTGATAGATCTTTGGATATTTTCAATCTGACCGTTTTTCCAGGTGGTTCCTGTTCCACTCAACCGCTGCACCACCGAGGACATCAAGGAGGCCTTTATGGTCCAGGCTCAGGAGCAAAACATGGAGCTGATGGAGATTCCTCAACACACCGACCTCAAACAGGTTCCGGCACCTTAACCCTGAACTCAGATGAAACGGTGCAAACGAGCTGAATAATAATTTTTTTTACTGTCTGCTTTCAGATTGCTCCTCCAGGAACTCCTTACTTCTACGTAGAGCTGGACTCTGGGGAGAAACTCTACTACCGGATCCAGAAAAACTTTCCTCTGCAGTTTGGAAGGTGGGAAAAAAACGGTTAAACTTCAGGAAACTGAACAGTTTTATCAAAACAAGTCCAAACTTTTTCTTTTATATAAATGATTTTTGTAGTTTAACTACAGGCGACTGGATTCGATCCGTTAGACTGGGTGATATATATGTATATATTCTACTTTGTAAGTCTCTTTGGATAAAATTATCTACTAACTCCATAAACATTCTAAATTTAATTCAAACCTTTGCCAAAGAGGGCGCCAGAGAGCTAATCAGTTATCACATTTAAATTTCCCTCCAATTCTGATTTATACGCATGAGAAAAACAACTGATTATAATTTAAACAGCTGATTGAAGTTGACTAAAGAGCTAAAAGGATTTGCCGTTTGACGCCACTGATGGAAATGTCCGTCTGTCCACAGGGAGGTTCTGGCCAGCGAGGTATTGCTGAACATCCCAACTCGAGCCGACTGGAAGGAGTGTAAACAGAGCCGAGAAGAGGAGGAGGACGGCTGCAAACGCCTGAGAGACGATTTCCAGCCGTACGACTTTGCCTGGGAAGACTGATGGAACACACGCCCGTTTAACAGTAGATGTGGGGACATTCGGTGCAGATGCTTCAGTGTCGGATCAACGCTGGGTCGTCTTTTTTAGATTTAAGGTGGAATTTGTAATAAAAATATTAAAATGTCTTTTGTATGTTTTTGTATTACGAGTAACTTTGAATCTTTGAGCCGTTCCTGTGATCTAAATGCTGATTCTGGATACAAAATGCTTATATTCAATGGAATATTTCACTTTTTGAATAATAATACGAGTACCGAAGGTTTTCCTTTGTGACTAAATCAGCTTTAAATTCACAAACCCTTCAGTTTGTTCACCATTTTCTGCTTTTGGCTTTCTATTTGAAGGCTTCAAACTATTAGCCTATTTTTGTAGCCTTTTTTACAACAGGCATCCCCAAAGTCGGTCCTGCAGGGCCACTGTCCTGCAGGTTTTAGAGATTTCTTTGCTTCAGCACAGCTTAACTGAAAGCTGATTAAAAGGCTTTTTCTCAACAATAATAATCAGCTGTGCTAAAGCAGGGAAACCTCTAAAACCTGCAGAACAGCGGCCCTAAAGGACCCACTTTGGGGATGCCTGCTTTAGGGGAAAAAAATTGCTGAAAAGTAAAAATCTTAAATGTTTACGTGTGCAAAAGTGATCTTTATACAAGGTGCAAAATTAATTTGCAGGTGCAAACATTTTTGTATTTGTGGCTTTATTAATATACTAATGTAACCATCAAGGGACTTCAAACCTGAAACTTGCAGCTTTTAGGATATTATATATTTAAAAAAAATTGTCAAACCCATTTAGGGATAAAACAGTCATGATTTATTATTGAAATAGTCAAAGATTTTAGTAATTAATCGTTAACTGGAGTATAGAGACTAAAACAT